TGCTTACTGTCCTAAGTATAATTTAGCTCGCTTCCTAGGTCCTTTTTAAATGTCCCTTTTTAAAGTAAGCACTCGAAAAATTTTACACTCACAAAATTATGTAGAATTTCAAGGTAAACTGTTTTATACATTTCAAAAGATGTATACAAATTTAAAGCAATCTTTGACCACAGATATATTCAAAAAATGCTCATCAATCAGAATGGCTTTTTATATATCCGCACAAATGGAAAAATGAATTCAAATTACTTGCGACAAAATGAAAATCTTTTTTTACAAATTTATTTTTTCGCATTGCTCCTAACTTAAGCTCGTATCATGTTTGTAAATATGCATTTTCATCCATGTGATACCGCTAACTCTCTTGAAAATTTTGACAGAAATATGACGTCATAGGAGATTTTGTGTATTGTCTGTGTGAAATACATATACATGTACATATGCAAAACATATACATACTGATATATCTCTCAGCTCCCTTCACCGGAAAATCTGGGATGACGTCATATTCACGTTACTATCCCGAATTTCACATCAATCAGCGCAATCTTGTATTCTATCGGTCTTGGGTACAATCACTTGATGGAGCCAGCAAGCTGGTGTCGCATATTTCCCCTTTTATACAAAAAGGTTTTTGGTTGGATAAAATATTAGCTTTTTCCGGAGTTCATTGTTTTTCTATACCATTATTTATTGAAAATGTTTGCGTGTATACTTATATATGTATATGTAAGTAAACAATTTTAGCTACCAGTTTTGGCCACAACGACTTTTTTAGCTCTTTTTTAGCCCTTGTTTTAAAGGAATTTGGCTACCACTAAAAATGATTCGCGGCAACACTGTTCGGCAGTGAATAGCTCAGCTTATGAATATGCTCACATGCTCATGAATCACCCTCACGATTGAGAGAATACAAAGGTTGCGCCGATCTCGGACCGCTATTCCTCTCTTAACGAATTTGACAGAATCGTGGTTTGCCTGACGTCACACTTGTGCAACTTGTTTACGTTTTCCTTGCAACATTTTTTCTTCTTCTTCCATTCTTGCTCACGTTTTGGTATTTCTCTCTCGCAATTGCACCAGTGTGACGTCACACAAAAGTTATTCTCAAAAATCCTCTCTGATCGGCGCAATCTTGTATTCTATCATTCTTGAATCACCCCATTGTTCACTCAAACTTGCTCTCACTAAAAAATGTTACTCTCTCACAATTGCTTAGCTTGCTTGTAAACTAGTGAGCATGAATATCTTCAAGAACGATAGATTACAAGATTGCGCATTCCCGCAGAATGACATTTGTGGCAACAGGTAAACAAAGAATATGGCGAAGAACAATGAGTTGACAGTTGTGAATTTGCAGTGAGAAAACGTGTTTTCTTCACGATTCACCAATTTCTGAAGCCATCTTTGAATATAGCGAATTAAGCACAACGTTAGCAAAAAATATACAACCACTCTTGAAATGTGTTCAAAAGAATAGGTCTTATTGATTAACTATTTAGAATTTTTGTGTTTGTATTGCAGGTGCCGAAAAAGTCTTGTCGCAGCGCATGTTTTCCTGCAGAAAGTGGTCGATGCTTGCTTACCTCCGATTTTAATTTGTAATTTTTGGTATTTCAACGTTTTCAACTTAACATGTCGTGTTTAAAAGTGGTCCGTAAAGTGCTTCATGCATATTACGCTGATGTCAAAATTGTATGGCTTCTCCTGCCGGCAGAACTCTACCCACTTTCTGGCCAAGGCGTCGTCGCAGGGAAACAAAAAAAAACTGCATTTGGGGACTTTACCCCTACGGCTGCTGCAATTCAACACAGGACACGAAATTTTTATAAAGTTTTTATTACAAATAAAACGTTTTTTACTTCAGAACGCATTTACTTCGATTTTGCACTTGAAAGTACACAATACGTTTGCAATACGTTTGCACTTGTTTCTAAACAAAAAGTTTGTTTACGTATTGCCATAAATGTCAAAGTCGGCAAAACCAAAGTAGCGGTTTCGGGAATGCGTCACCTTCAGTTCATTACACCATGGAATATCTTTATATCTTTCACAATCGCTGATGGCTTCCACTTGGCTTGGCTTGCTTCTCTTTGTGCAATTGTTTGACAGATTCATTGTATACCGCTAGATGAGTTAAGTGACTCATAGTTTATTCATGAACACATACACAAATTCAGCGCCACTGCAGTTTTGCTTTGCGCGCAAGACCGTTTGCGACGTTGAATACGTACATGCATGTAGAAAATGGTAGGGGATGACATTTGGACCAGCTTTGACTATTTTTCTATATAGCTCATTACCTTACATAAACCATATATGTCGAAGTTTCAAACTTTGTAGAAAAATTGAGAAAATTCGATAAAATTTTACTACAAACTTTTTAATAAGAATTTTGAGATAATTCTAGTTTGCAATTTTATACCCAATTAAACTATAGCTATGGAAGTAAAAGCCTAATTTGGCTAAGAATTCGCGTTGATTTTTGATAACCTGTTTTTAGGGGATGGTGTTATTATTGTGGGTGAACCCGCCATTAAAAAAAATATGAAAAACCAAGGCGAATGCTTAACCAATTAAAATTTGCAGTTCCTTAAAAAGGAATTTAATAGGCTAAAAAACTGCATACTTAGAAATTCCTAATAAAAGGTTTGTTGTTGTTGTAAAAAATTTCCTGCTTTTCTACAAAGTTTGAAATTTGGACTTATATGGTTGTTGGAGCTAGGAGCGTTTTCCTTAGTCCTTTTTTGCGAATTTAAACAAGAATTAAGTACCTTGTACTTAGAAAATATTTATTTAATAACTATTCAAATAGTTGGTAGCTATTCTAATATTGAACAAAATATTATGCGAAGAATTTTATTTGATGAAGCGAGGAATGCCTATCACGGTGCGCGTTCAATCGATTTGTGTCCCAAGTGAATTGTATTAGCCATAGGTTGACCAAATTCCAAGACAAATAACTACGAAAAATAGCGGGTGGTGATGGTGGCGTGATTTGTTTGCGGTGCTTTTGTACATATGTATGACGATGTGTGTATTTAGCGCTGCAGCAATGATAAGTGGTGGTGTTATATTTGTCGTGCCGAAAATCCATTTTTTATACACGCATTTTTGTATAAGCTCCCAATTAGCGGTGCCATGCACAACAATAACAACAACTACTACCTATTGCTAAGTGCACTGTAAGCAGTGACCCAACTGGCACTGCTGCTGCGCTGGCAATGCAGTCAGCGACTGAACTCGCGCTGCTGCTGCGATGTATTATCCCTTTGAGGGCTTCTGTCCTTCAACATCCACCATAACCCACCAAAGTGTGGCGATCTGGGAGGGATGAACTTCCACTCGATGCCTTCCTTGCAGCATGCCGCTTTCACGTTATCTGCGTGTTGTTGCGATATGTGGAGTTTCAAGAGCTCACGCAGCTCCCGATTTGCACCGACGAAGTTTGTGGCATTGTCTGAATAAATGACACGACATTTGCCACGACGAGATATGAAGCGTTTCAGAGCAGCGATGAATGCGTCCGTCGTGAGGTCCGGAACCAGCTCAAGGTGGACGGCTTTGGAACTGAAGCATATGAAAATAGCTATATAAACTTTAATGGGAGCTCTACCTCTGAGTTGTTGGGTGATGAGTAGCGGGCCGCAGTAATCCACGCCTGTTTTCTCAAACGGAGGCGATGGCACTACTCGGTCTCTTGGCAAGTCGCCCATCAATTGTTCAGTCAAAATTGGCCGAAACCGGTAGCAGATAATGCATTTGTGGAGTACATGCTTGATGGTGCTTCTAGCATTGATAATCCAAAAGTTTTCTCGAAGGATGGTGAGCAAGGTTTGGCAACCAGCATGAAGATGATGTCGATGAAAATGCATGATGATTGTATGAACGAAAGGGTGCGATTTTGGTAGCAAAACTGGATGTTTTTCGTTAAAACTCAGCGAAGAGTTTTTAAGCCGACCTCCTACTCTAATAACTCCCTCGTGTATGAATGGTGATAACTGCGATAATGGTGATTTGTAAGAAACTGGACGATTTAATTGTAAATTGGTGAATTCATCTACGAAGGTGTGGGTGAGGAGAGAATCGTTCATTTCCGATGCGGTGATGTGATCTTGTTGGCTGTGGTGGTGAATTTTGCGAGCTCCGTCTATAAAGCGCCGCACATAACAAAAAATTCGAATGAGTTTGTTGTAGTTGGTGGTGAATTTGTGCTCGCCGATGATGTCTGTTGTCGGGTTTGTTATTAAGGTGATGTGCTGCCGACGTTGTTCTGGGATTTCGATGTCGATGAGCGATGGTGAAGGCCAATGGTTAGCTTCAAGTGTGAGAAAATTTGGACCGTGAAACCAAAGTTTGTTGCCAATGAGCTGGTCAACCTATGCTCCACGCGACAGTATGTCTGCTGGATTCACCTCGCTGGGGATGTGGTGCCACTGATATTGTTTGGTGAGCAACTGAATTTTGGTTACTCGGTTGCTGACGAATGTTGACCACCGTGATGGTTCACCCTTTATCCAGGCAAGCGTGATCATCGAATCTGTCCAACAGTGAACGTTGTTTGAATCGTGACGAAGGTTTTTGGACACTGACTCAAGTAATTCAGCCAGTAGTAATGCAGCACACAGCTCCAAGCGAGGCAAACTAACTTCCTTCGTAGGTGCGACGCGAGACTTAGCACACAAAAGTGACGAACTAGATTTCGTTGCTAAATAGATTGATGCGCCATATGCCTTTGTACTTGCATCTGCAAAGGCATGGATATTAGAATCACAGTCGAAAGCTACTAACCTTGGGACTCGAAGATTTTCGAGAAGTGGCAGTTTTGCGCAGAATGACTCCCATTGTGTGTATACGCAAGGAGGTACACTTTCGTCCCAATTCAAATGAAGCCTCCATAATTGCTGCAACAAAACCTTGCAGATGACAATGAGTGGGTTGAGTAATCCCAGCGGGTCGAAGAATCTAGCAATGTGAGAGAGAATGGTTCTCTTACTCACTTTCGATGATGGTGGTGGTGGTGTGTAGCGAAACAAAAAACTATCTTGCGATGGGGACCACATAAGGCCCAGTGCCTTTATGTAGTCAATGTCATCAAGCTGTTTGACGTCTTCACGATCTGCTTCTGGTACGTCTGCGATTATGCGTGTATCGTTTGATGAGAACTTCCTCAATGGAAATCCCCCATTGTTCAGCACCTCGATGACTTGCTTCTTAATTTCGACAACTTCTTCAATAGTGGAGGCACCCGTCATCAGGTTGTCTACATAAAAGTCGTTATGGACGGCGTAAGCGCCGATTGGATGAGATGACATGTGTTCGCATGCCAGCTGCTGCAAACACTTCGTGGCCAAGTAGGGCGCACATGCCGTACCGTAGGTCACTGTTTGTAACTGGTATGTGATTATGCGGTCGGTTATCTCATCGCGCCACAAAATGCATTGCCATTGTGCATCTTGCTTTTCCACGATGATTTGTCTATACATCTTTGCGACGTCAGCCATCAGCACAAAGACATGCCATCTGAATCTAAGGAGAATTGAAAACAAATCATCTTGCACTGTAGGTCCAACTCGAAGAATGTCGTTGAGTGATTTGCCGTTAGATGTACGACACGACGAATCGAACACGACGCGAAGTTTGGTGGTGCTGCTATCCAACTTCACGACTGCATAGTGTGGTATGTAGTTTACGAAGTTACCAGGGTGAGGTATGCGAATCATGTGATGAAGCTCGATGTATTCTTTCATGAAGGAATAGTAGTCTCGCTCTAGACATTTGTTGCGACGAAGTTTGATTTCGATGGACACTAGTCGTTTTTGTGCTATATCATACGAGCTGCCCAATGACTGTGGGGATTCCTTAAAAGGCAAACGAACGATGAACTTATTGGTGTTGGGGCATCTCTTTGTCGTCTCTGCGAAGAATTTTTCGCACTCAATTTCATCAGCAGTTAGACTTGGTGGTGTTTGATGTGGATTGTGTTCGATAAGCCAAAACCTTTCCAAAATCTGATCAAGTGACGGTTCCAAGGTGAGTGACGAAGCTTCCGTTACCTTCGAATCAAAGGAGATTTGCGATGGCCATGCGTTAGATAGTATGCAGTCGGTGCCTACTGAGGTGGTGTATGATGGGACCAATGACGCCGAAGATATAAGTGGTGGGATTGTGACAGCTCCAGCGACCACCCACCCAACCTTAGTTTTTTGAAGGACAGGCAGATTGTCGCCCAACTTGATCTGTCCAATCAACAGCAAGTCATAAAAAATGCTCGCTCCAAGCAGAAGATCAACTGGGCCTGGCTTGTTGAAATTATCGTCAGCCAAGTTGATGTTCTTTGGTATGTTCCATGCGATGGTGTTCAGTGGTGTGCGCGGTTGGCATGTCGTTATTGCGTTCATGATGACCGCATCTATGTTCGATGAATATGCTGTGTGTTGAGAGCGTATCTCCACCTTGCATAGGAACTGCGACCTTGATCCGCATAATCCTATGCCACTGATTTCCAGTGGAACCTTTTTGCGATGTACACGAAGTAACTGAGCCAAGCGCTCAGTTATGAAATGCAACTGCGAGGCGGAATCTAGCAGTGCACGAGCGAAAATCGTTGTACCCGATTGACTACGAAGCTGAATCACGGCAGTCGCAAGTAGAACCTCTTGGTTGCTGTCACAAACCTGAAGCACTGTTGGTGTCGAAGTTGACTTCATGGTGTTGGACGGTGTCAGTGGCGAAGACGATGATTGTGGATTGGTTGTGGTTGGTTGCGAACGGTGCAATAGAGTGTGATGACTCGCCCGACAAACTTGACATCTATGCGTGGACGGACAGTCTTTCGACGAATGATTCGGACCCAAACAGTTTAAGCACAGACTCTTCTTCTTTGCTACGTCGTAGCGTTGTACTGGTGTCAGCTTCATGAAGACGGAACAGTTGAAGGCATTATGACTGATAGAGCCTTCACACAAATCGCATTTTGGTTTATTGGTGGTGATGAACGATACTTGCTTTGGTGATTGACGAGACTTTGATTGCGACGATGATGTTGGTTCTGGTGACCGATGCGACGATTTGGTTGAAGTAGCGCTGTGATCGGTGATATCGATGAGTTGGCAACGACGTTCGAGGAACGCTGCAAGATCTTCCCATGCTGGCAGCATGAGGGATACCTGGTGTGATGGTCGGTCCCACTTCGCAGCCACTTCTTCTTCCCATTTCACTTGCGTTTCATGGTCTAGCTTTGAAACGACCAAGTGAAGCAGTAGCCCGTTACCAATTTGTGTGGATGTTGCCATCGATTGCATGGCACGCATGTTTGCATTTATGACGTCGACGAAGCTACGAAGATTAGCAACGGTGGGTGTGGTGATGCGTTGTGTGTCGAAGATGTGCTGAAGATGCGACTGGAATATGTACCGCTTATGGTCGAAACGGGATTCAAGTAGCTGCAGCGCCTTCTTATAATTTGCGTTGGTCACCTCTAATGATTGTATGAGGGTAGCTGCGCACCCTGAAAGGCTTGAGCGCAGATATTGAAATTTTTCAATATCCGAGAGGTCTGGATTTTTGTCGACGAGGACCAAAAAGGTATTGTAAAAATCCAGCCACTCGCGGTAGCAGCCATTGAACGTCGATAGTTTTAACTTCGGCAAATTTATTCTCTGTCGCGATGAAGATGTGTTGTGTTGTTGTGTGATGTGGGTGCTACTCAGCTGCATTCCGGATGAGTTGGTTCGTAAAAACGATAGCCTTTCACTGTACAGTGCCTTAACACTACAATAGCTCTCATCCATGGTCAGGCGAGTTCGGTGTCATCTAAAATCTCCAGCTGCGTTTGTAGTTCCTCAAATGAATTGTAGTAGCGCTCGATTAGCGCTAGTTTGGCCTCTATGTGTGGTGCTGATAACGCGCTAAGTTGAACCGACGGTATTTCGAGAGCCTTCAAGCGATTTAACAGCGATAACCGTTGACTCTTTTTGACGCGGACTTCACGCGATTCGCGGTACAGAGGAGTTTGCACCCCTGTATCTTCTTGCTCGATATCCGACATATTGACTAACCAACTTTTATAAATCAAGAACGAAAAGAAATTTTAAATGCAAATACGATGACGAAAATATGGGAAAATTTGTGAGCCGGGCGTGATCCGGCTCGAAGGACCAGTTTATGTTGGAGCTAGGAGCGTTTTCCTTAGCCCTTTTTTGCGAATTTAAACAAGAATTAAGTACCTTGTACTTAGAAAAT